GCGCTGGGCGCGCCTGCTGGTTCCGCTGTCCTCGCTACCTGTTCCTCCTCCCCGTGACGACAGCGGCCGCTGGCACGCGCTGCTGGCAGCCCCAGGCTTCATGGTCACCGGCCTCATCTACGCCGACGGCTCCTGCCTGAAGCATTGGAGCCGCCCGCAGGCCGCGAGAGCGGGCTGGGGTTTCGTTATCCTCGAGAACTTCCGGGCCGTCGGCGGCTACTACGGCGCGGTGCCTGGACCAGTCCAATCTTCGCCCAGGGCCGAACTCTGGGCGGTCATTCAGGTCCTGCTAGTGGCCGTTCCGCCCTTCTGCATCCACACGGACCACCTGGAGGTTATCCTCGGCCTGGCGCGCGGGCGCGCGTGGGCACATTGTCCCAGGCGCTCGAATCGCGATTTGTGGGTGCAGCTGTGGGCCAAGTTCGATGACCACGGCGGCCTCTCCTCGCACGTGCGCATCGTTCACGTCCGTGGGCACCAGAGCGGCAACGACCAGCATCGGCATGGCAACGACTGGGCGGACGCGCTCGCTCGCTTGGGATCGGGGCTCCACTGCTTCACGGACCAGCAGAAGGCGGAGGCCATGGTCCTCCTTCGACACCTTCGTCAGACGGCCTGCTGGGTGGCAGCGGTGCACGACGGCCTGATGTCTGGGGCCTTGGCGCCGGATCGCGACCCACGGCCGCCGCGAGCACGAGGGCGGCGGACGCGCCAGCCGCGGCGACGCCGTGGTGAGCCATGCGTGACGCCCGCCTATGCTCATGCTCCGTTTTTCGCTGCCTCGTGGTGGCGATGCGCCTGGTGCGCTAGTAAAGCTCGCACGTTGGCTGGTCGCGCGCGTATGCTCCGCCAGACGTGCAGGGGGAGGGAGCTCAAGGCGCGGGCCCAGGCGGCTCGGGGGGATGTGGTCGAGCGGGCCTCTGAGCTTTCTCCTCCTCCTCCTCCGCGCCGCGCGGCCGCCCCCGCAGCCCTCGGCGCGGCCCTAAATCAGGATGCCGGCATGTCGAGCCAGAGCTCGGCGGCCCCAGGCCGGGGGGAGGGTGCCCCAGTCGGTCTTTCTCCGCCCCAGGTTGCCCATGAACCTCCCCGCAAGCGAGTGCGTTTCGCCGAGGACGTCGAGCCGGCGGAATGCAGTCCGGCCACGTCCACCGCCCCCCAGGCGATGGTGGCGGCCGCGGCGCTCATGACTGGAGCTGCGCTGACGGTTTCTGTGCCTTCCTCGTCCTCCGAGCCGTCGGCTGGATCCGCTTCTGGAGCTCTGGCGACGGATGCTGGCTCGTGTGGGGCCGGCGCGGACTTCCCTGGAGCTCCCACGCCGTCACGCGGTCAGAGGCGCCCTGCCTCTGCTCCCTCTGCCCGTGTCGTGCGGCCTCGGACTTCTGCGTCTTCGGGATCGGCTGGATCGCACCCTGGAGCTCTGGCGCTGGAGGCCCCTGTGGGGGGTTCGCTGGATCCCCACCGCCTGCGGTTGGCGGTTTCCCTGGAGCTCTCGCGCCCAGTCGGCCGCTGGCCAGGCCTGCGGGCCCACCGGGGAGTGCGGCCCCCCGTCCAAAGAGGTTTCGGGGGGGGCAGCCTGGGGCGAATTCGGCGCCCCCACCTGCTGCGCCTCCCCCCGAGTCTGGCCCCGTGCCGCCTGAGGCATGCAGGGGGCACAGACTCAGGGTCGCAGGCGAGTTCGTGGCGTGCACGGCGTGCGGATCCTATTCGCGAGGCGCGGCTCGTGGAGGCCTGCTGCTGCCTTGCGGTCCAACCCAACTCCGTCGAGAGCCGAACAAGCGTGATCGTTTGAATCGGTTTTTTGCGAGGTTTTCGCCCCGACGGCTCTAATGTCAGGATTCCTGTCCATCGTGCCCTCGTCGTTGGAGATGAGGCTCTGGCATGGCTATTGCTCGCGTGATCCGTTCGCGTTCGACTGTCATGTGTGCTGTCGCCTCCACTGAGGCGCGGAGTGGACGCCCTGGCCGCGATGCTCGTCTGGGTCGTTGGGCCGCCTCTTCGCTCGTTCTGCTCATTCGACGCGCGCGGCGCTCGATCCGAGCTCGGTCCCGGAGCATCATCATCATCACCATCATCATCATCATCATTATCATCATCATTATCATCATCATCACCATCATCATCATCATCATCAGCATCATCATCATCATCATCATCATCATCATCATCATCATCATCATCATCATCCCCCTCCTCCTCCTCATCCTCCTCCACCTCCTCCTCCTCCTCCACACCCTCCTCCTCCTTCTCCTCCCTCTCCTCCTCCTCCTCCTCCTGTCTCCTCCTCCTCCTCCTCCTCCTCCTCCCTCCTCCTCCTCCTCCTCCTCCTCCTCCCTCCTCCTCCTCCTCCTTCCTCTCTCTCCTCCGTCCCTCCTCCTCCTCCTCTCCCCCCCCCTCCTCCTCCTCCTCCTCCTCCCCCTCCCCCTCCTCCCTCCTCCCCTCCTCCTCCTCCTCCTCCTCCTCCGCCTCCCTCCTCCTCCTCTTCCTCCTCCTCCTCCTCCTCCCCCCCCACCTTCTCCTCTTCCTCCTCTCTCCTCATCATCCTCATCGTTTTCGTCATCATCATCATCATCATCATTCATTATCATCATCATCATCATCTCATCATCATCACCACCATCATCATCATCATCGTCATCATCATCATGATCATCACCATCATGTTCATCATCATCATCATCATAATTTCATCATCATCATTCAGCATCATCATCAATCATCACCATCCCCTCCTCCTCTCTCCTCGTCCTCCTCCTCTCCTCACCCCCCCCTCCTCCTCCTCCTCCCTCTTCCTCCTCCTCCGCCTCCTCCTCTCCTCCTCCTCCTCCTCCTTCATCCTCTCCTCTCCTCCTCCTCCTCCTCTTCATCTTCCTTCTCTTCCTCCTCCTCCTCCTCCTCCTCCTCCTCCTCCTCCTCCTCCTCCTCCTCCTCCTCCCCCTCCCCCTCCTGCCCCCCCTCCCCTTCTCCCCCTTCTCCTTCTCCTTCTCCTCCTCCTCCTCCTCATCCTCCGCCTCCTCCTCCTCCTCCTCCTCCTCCTCCTCCTCCTCCTCCCACTCCTCCTCTCCTCCTCCTCCCCCTCCTCCTTCTCCTCCTCCTCCTTCTCCTCCTCCTTCTCGTCAGCATCATCATCATCATCATCATCATCATCATCATCATCAGCAGCAGCAGCATCATCAGCATCAGCATCATCATCATTATCATCATCATCGTCATCGTCCTCCTCCTCCTCCTCCTCATCATCATCATCATCATCAAAATCATCAGCATCATCATCATCACCACCATCATCATCATCATCATCAGCATCATCATCATCATCATCACCATCAGCATCAGCATCAGCATCATCATCATCATCGTCATCCTTCTCCTCCTCTCTCTCCCCGTCCTCCTCCGCCGTCAGGCCAGGCACGGAGTGCCTGCCGCCGCGGAGAAGCGGTGCAGCCTGTGTTCTGGTGACCACCCGCAGGATTGGCCGAGGCGGGTGGGGCCCTGCCCAAAGTGGTGGGGGCAGCCCGTGCTCAACAGTGGCAAGGGCGACCGCTTGGGTCGTTCCTTCCTCAGGTGGCTGCTATCAGAGGACTACACCCTCTCGCTGTCGGTGGGGCGCGGCTGGCGGCTTTCTCCTCTTTGGGTATCCCCCCCTTCTCGTCGCCACGTGTTGTTGCCCACCCATTCCTCCCACGCTCTGGGTACCCCGCCCAGGCGTGCGTGGGGGTGGGCGGGTCGCCTGCGCACGGCTCATCGGGGCACCCCCACCCAGCCTTCCCACGGCCGTGGTTCCCCGCCCAACGCGCGTGGGGGTGGGGCGGTCTGTCGTGGGAGTGGGTGCGGTGCCCCACGGAGACTTCTCGGGGCGGCACGGCCTCCTGGCGTGAGGCGTGTCGTCACGGTTGGGCGCCGCCCGAAAATGCCGCGAGGCAGTAAGTGCGCGCGCTGCTTGCCGTTCGGCCCGAAGTCGTATGGTTCTAGGTGCACCGCTAGCGCCTGCTTTGTCTCACCTCCAGCGATCTGCTCTGGTGGTCACCTTGGTGTGCTGGTGTTCATCAGAGATCGGTTCTGGTCGAGCTACGCTCGTCTTGCCCGGCACGGAGTCGCCCCCGCTTGCCCTGCTTCTTCCACACCTCTGACTGCGGGCACCCATCTCGAGTTAACACAAAACTCCTCCTCCTCCTCCTCCTGCGCCTCCTCCTCCCTCCTCTTCCTCCTCCACCCCCTCCTCCTCCTCCTCCTCCTCCTCCTCCCCTCCTCCTCCTCCACCCCCTCTCCTCCTCCTCCTCCTCCTCCTCCTCCTCCTTCTCCTCCTCCTCCTCGTCCTCCTCGTCCTCCCCCTCCCCCTTCTCCTCCTCCTCCTCCTCCTCCTCCTCCTCCTCGTCCTCCTCCTCTCTCCGACGCAACAAAAAATCACCCCGAGGGCATTCAAAACTCGATCGCCGAGACGGAACCGTGACCTCCGACACCTTGGCTCAAGTCGGGCCTGTCCCCCTACAGGAGGAAAAATGGGACGATGTTCCGATTATGTTTGTATTAGGTTTGAGTATTGTTTGGCTACGCCCGATGCTTCTCCCAAGTTCTGCCCGTAGGTGGACATGCCCGACTGGGGCCGCGATTTGAGAGTGGTGTTGTTACCCTCTGGGCCATAACGTGCGTTGTGCCCCCTACCCCCCCCACCCACCCCCACCCCATAACGTAACGCTCCCCCCCCCCTCAGTGCGCCCCCAGCACTGGCTCAGCGCGTCCGGCACCACACTCTGGGGGGGGCCGTTCCGTCATGCTCCCCCCCGCCCCCACCCACCCCTCCCCCCCATGATTGCTTTCTCGTCATGGGTCGTGTTTTCAACGTTCCCGGGGCCCAGCGAGGGCCCCGATACGGAGAAAACAGCCAAGACGCTGGAGGTCCAGGAGCGACCACGCCTTGTCTGAAGAACAGCAAGCAAAGAGGCCCGCCAGATGTCCGACACTCGAGGGCGGGAGGGGCCGAACGCCACCTTCCGCTCGCAGAGGTCGACCACGCGGTGCTGCTCATCGGCCTCGGGTCCGAAGGAGGCGCCCCGAGTTCTCGCGCCGCGCCGCGCTGGCTAGGCGGGGCTCTAACTGCACGTACGAGTGGCCCTTCGCCAGAGTGACCTTTGGGTGCGGGCCCAATGGGGTCCCCCGATCGCCGAACGCGATGCGATAGCAGCGTCCTGCGCGCTTGCGTTTGGTCCCCCCGCGGCCCCCAACAAGCCGCGCACCAAAGGTCACCCTTGCCCAGGGCCATTCTTGCTTGCAGCCGCGGGGCGCGCGCGCCCTCCTCTCCGTCGGCTTCGCGCGAGGGTGGCCCCTCGCCACCGTGGCTTTTTTTGGGCGGACCGCTGGGGCCCTCGGACCGCTGAGCGCGACGCGGTAGCGGCGACTTGCGCGCTTGGGGTTGGCCCCGCTCCCCCCCCCACGCGCTCGCTCCACCAAAGCCGCAAACACCCGAGGCCCTTCCTGCCCTTCCGGTCCACTCCTCGCGCATCCGTCGACCTCCGGGCCCAGGGCTGGACCGAAACGCTGTCTTGCGGGACGTTTGCTGTGTTTTGTTTTCGTCCTTGTTTGGCCTGGAAGTGCAGGAAAACAGATAGGGCAAAACGAGTCACGAAGCGAACACAAAGCGAACAACAACGTTTAGGTCCAGCCTTGCCAGAGCCCCCCACAAGCCTCAGGGGCATCCTAACCGACCCCCAGCAAACCATGCCCTTCATTGACGTCCCCCTCGCCTCGCCCCAAGACGTGTGTGTTTGCGGCCAGAGGGGTGGCTCGTTAGGGTTAAGTTGTTCTCATCGCACTGAAGGACCAGGTCCCAAAAATAATTTCGAGCACCCAGGGAAGTGTCGAAACAGTGTCGAACGAGTATCGCCTCCCAGGGCTCGACACGTGAAAACCCTTGAGTTTCGGCATTTTCTTGGTGCTCGAAATTATTTCTGGTGATCAAGGCTAAAGTCGGTTGGAACATCATAACGCTAGGGATCGGTTAGGCCGCCCCTGAGAAGCCAGGGTTTCGCAGAGCAGGGCTCTTCTGATGCCGCCAGGGGGCGAAGAGGAGTGGAGAGTTAAGTCGGGCCTGTCCCTCGACAGGGGGGATTTCAAAAATAGTCTAAAACATGGGGGCGATATTTCTGCTATGTGTTGTATTGTTTGGGGTATGTTTTAACCATGTTTCATTTTTCGCCCATAATCCGCCTGTAGGGGGACATGCCCGACTTATAATTCTAGGGGACCATGGTCCGTCATGGATCGGGTATGGCCAGGACCCCGGTTAAGGGGAGCCGGTTAATGATTGGGCCCCGAAGTCCAAAGTTCCCCAATCAGTGTTTGCACTGAAGGGGTCCTAGCAGATATTGAAAGATTTGGCGGAAGTTTCCCGCCGATTTGGGTAGCCGGCTGGGTTCCCGGGTTCCCTGTTCCGGGTTCCCCGGTTCCCGGTTATTGGTTCCGGGCCGATTTCGGTGGGTTCTGGGTTCCCGGGTTCCTGGTCGATCTCTTTATCGATCTTTTGATCGATCCCATGTCAAACTATCCACTGATTGGGGTTTTCTATGGTGTAAGAATCACCAAACCAGGTCTGCCGTAGCTGGTGTTTTTGAGGGGACGGCAGTTCCGGTTTGTGGAGTGGTGCGGGGGGGGGAGGGGGGCGCTCCCCCGTATAGGTTATTAAGCCAGGTCCCACTAAACCCAGTCTTGCCAACGCCCGAATGGAGCAGAGACTACACACATACAGTGTCGGCTCGGCGCTCCGCGCGCCAGGAAGGGAGGGGGGGTCCAGCGCCGACCCAAGAAATCCGTGCGGACCACCGAAAGAGTATGCTTTCACGCACTCGTTTGTTCTTTCGAAGGTGGGCAGCGTCAGGGCGCTCGGCCGAGGGCTGCGAGGACCCCCCACCTGGCCAGGCCCATCCGCGAATCGCATTCTCCCCGCTCTCGGGAGGGCGTCGCGGTCGCAGTTTTGGCGGGTCTGCGCCCGCCGGGTCTGGTCCCAGGTCGTTTCCGCTCAGGGATGTGTTACCAAAGGAGGTTCTCTGTCCAGCCCCGTGATCAGGGGCAAAAGGCTGGGCCCACCCCGCCTACGATGGGCGTGCGGTCTCGCTATCGGAAACCCGTCGCCGATCTATCGGCGACGTGTCGCTGAGTCACCCTCTGAGTCAGTCCCCCCCACCCTCTGAGTCATTCCCCCCGATCGTTCCCCCCCACCCTTTGAGTCAGTCCCCCCCACCCTCTGAGTCAGTCCCCCCCACCCTCTGAGTCGCTATGCCCCCCCCCCCCACCCTCTGAGTCAGTCCCCCCCGATCGTTCCCCCCGCAGGGGAGGGGGGGCCCCTGACTCTGACGTCCCCGCGCCGCGGACGAGCCGCGGCGGGAGGCGGTCGGCCACGGCCGTTCCGGCCTCGGGGGGCGCCCGCAGGGCACGTGGGGCCGTCCAGGGAGATTGCTCGGCACGGAAGGCCAATCCCCGGCGATGCATTGGCGATGCGGCGCGATCCTTCGACCCCACCTACTCGGACCCCATCTGGGAGGTCTCTATGTGGGGAGCCGCGCAATGAACATATCACCCTGCCCCCCTGGAGGGCATGAAGTTAACAGCCGGGCGCCCTAGACTGATGGCGCCACAAGAGGTCGAGGCAGTAGGGGGAGGGGGCGGAGGAGGAGGAGGAGGCGGCGGAGGCGGCGGAGGAGGAGGAGGAGGGGGTCTAGGGCAGTGTTCCTTTCGAGCGAGGCTCAGGAGGGGGAGTTTTGTTTCGCGCTAGACAGGCTGGCCAACAGAGTTGTTTTTTTCACCAAGCGTATTTGGACGCGTCACATCGCACCATTCGCTGGGAATGGACCGATGCTGCTCGTCAGTGCCAGCAAAAGTTACGCCCCGGCGTGGTGTGCCAGGCGCGGGGCTTGGCAGTACTCAGCCAAGGCCAAGAAGAAGGTTGGGTGCAACTGTGGCGAACCGTCCCAATTGCCTGCTAAGACAGGCGATGCCAGCGATGATGGCAAGGGTTGCGCAGCGGCCCCCGACATGGATACGAAGGCCATTATCACCGCCATCCCCGGGGCTTTCAGCGAGCCGCAAAAGAGGCCAGCCCCAGTGGCGGCGGCCGTCGCCGCCTTCCAGCGAACACGGCAGCACGAGAAGCGCGCGGAGGAGCTTAATGCCCACATCCAGGAGTACGAGGGCCGGTTCAAGGAGGCGGAGGAAGATCGTGCCAAGGCCGCCCTCGCACCAAAAGTTCAAGGTGGCCAGCAGCCAAGCTACAGCACAGTGGAAACCCACCCCCAGCCGACGAGACGGATGTGGAGCCACCCATCTCAGCAGCGGTGGCGCCGGCGGCAGGCGCCACGGCCGCGGCCAATGTCCCAGGGATGCCACAAGGGTTGCACGCAGCCATCAACGAACTCCAGGGCGCCGACGCGGAGCGGGCCAACACCTACGTCAAGGAGCTTGACAAGGCGGCCCAGGCGGGCAAGGCGGCCGCGGCGCCCAATCGGCCCAAGCGGCCAAGGCGGGAGGGTCGGCCGCGCGCCCCCGCAGGCGGTAGCAGTGGCCCTGCCGCGGGGAGCGGCGCCGCGCAGCGGGGCAGGAACGGCCATGCCATGCTGCCTCCCCGCGGAGCAGCCGCAGTGAACCCATGGTCCGCGAGGGGGCTGCAGGCCACGGCGTGGAACAGGAGGAGGGCCTGGAGCGCGCCAGCAGGGCAAGTATCCCCACCGAACCACCCGGGACCAACTGCCAGGGCGGCCCAGCAGAACAAGATCAGGCGTCTCAGCGGCTCGAGATAGCCAGTCTCACCAGCCTCACCGTGGACAGCCGCGATGAGATCTCAAGCCTTAGTGGTAAAAGCGGGAGTCATGACAGGTATGACCTATCAGTATAAATTGGCAGTGCCATGGGGGATGCAGGACACGAGCGGGTTACAGGAGGAGCACCGGATCATAACAGAGATCTGCCAAACTAATATTTCATCAAGCCAACCTCACGAGTTGGCAAAAAGCGAGCTCGTGATTGCGTACAGCCCGAGGATTCCAAGCGGCCACATGTAGTGATGTTTAGAGAAATTCAGATCAGTCACGAGAAGGTCCGTGACCTTCACAAGTTCATGAAGAAGCAGGTCCTACGTCTGCCCCGCCATTGCGACGTCCGCCGCGGGCGCGCATGGTGGGGCAGGCCTTTTTCTGCATTGCGAAGACTGTGTTCGCGCGCCCGCGTCATGGAGGCCAAGGGCCACGGGGAATTGGGCTGAACGGCCTGCCTTCTGCGCCACAAGGGGCGCGGCGTCCTCCTCATCGCCGCCTACCTCCACGTCGATGCGGGGTATAGCGATTATGGCACTAGGGTCACCAGCCGGATCGCCACCTTCGGACACCCGACAAGTTGGCCTACATCATGGGCGGGGACTGGAACGCGACGGGCCAGGAGCTCATCGGAGGGGGCCTCTGGGTGAAGAACCTACTAGAGGTCGCCGCCCAGTTGAATGTAGACTCAACGTGCAACGGTCGGGTGATTGTTTTTTTGCTGTTGCGTCGTAAAGCTCGGTAACCTCTTCGAGGCGATGCCAAATAACGCCAGCCCTTGAGGCCCCCACCTTGGGATACGAAGGGAATTTCAGACGGGGGTTCTCAGCGGGGCCAGCACATTCCCCGTGGAGCCCCCCGACGCAGCGACGCCTGGAGCGGCCCCGAGGCCTTTCGAGGGGCTTGACATCCTGGCGCTCGACGAGATCCCCGAGGCCCCTGAGGTTCGTCATCGTTTCTCGGGGGCCCATGCCAACGCCGCCCTCGCCCATCGGTTCGCCGCGATGCCGAAGGCCCTGGAGCGACGCTGCCCTGCGCCCGTCGACGTGGGCGGGCCTGGCAGGGTCTCATTCTTTCCCCCTGAGACCAGGCCCGCTTTTCCACCGAACCTTCCCGAGCCAGGGGGGGGGCTTGAACGCCGACAGTGGAGCGCCGGCCAGCAGGGAGCTCGCGAGAGGAACCGGGCGAAACCGACAGGCCCGAACCGTGGGAGGATCCAGAAGCTCATCGAGGAAGGCCTTAAATCAC